ATTCGTATGTTAAGTTTTTTTTTCATTTTTATTTTTATTTTTTATTTTTTTACAATTGATCGAACATTATTAATTTCAGGCCCAGGATTCTCAAGTGGTAGTGTTGATTCTGCACGGCAAAATTTAGCATCAACTTTTGTGAATGCATTCGTTAATGCTGGATTTGGAAATGATAAATTAATCTCAATTGAGGATGGCAGCACATGGATTTACAAAAACAAAGATAATGGTAAATAATTGAAATAATGAAAATAATTGAAAAGCAGTTTCATTACATTTGATTTTCATTTAATAATGCGTTGTCATTCAGGTATGCTGAGCGCTACTGCGTCTATTGGTATGATCATGCTGTGGGATGTGGATGCTGGTTTGGCACAACTTGATAAATATTTATATTCAAATGAGGATTATATTAAGGTACGATGATTTGTGTATAAATTAATAATCAAGATCTACGAATTTTACAACTATATAACGTAAAAATAGTTCAAATATTCGAATTGCATTAATATTGCATACGATATTACATGAAATTGTTCAATTCGTATGTTTGAAACAGCCCATGGTTTATTCATAAAATGGCTTTTTTACACATGCTTGATCATTATTATGTACAAGATATTTGTTTCTTTGATTGGGTTATGTGGTCGTAGGATTAATAATTTACAATATGGGCGTGACTCTTAGGCTGGTGCTCTTCTCGCCATCGGATTAGTAAATACTGGCGTTCGTAATGAAAATGATCCCGCTTTTGCGTTACTTTCCGAACATATTGAAAGTTCGGCTAGTTCTAATATGCGGATCTGCACTATCGTTGGGTAGGTAACATTCTAATGTAAACCATTAAAATGCATATAATTTTTCTGTGCTGATTATAAATTTGCAATTAGTCTTGGAATGGCATATGCCGGCTCTCATCGAGATGATGTTCGAGATTTACTTCTTCCTCTCGTAAGTGATACTACTTTAAATATGGAACTAGCTTCTCTCGCGGCTTTGTCTCTAGGTCTGGTTTTTGTTGGATCTTGTAATGGAGATATCACAAGCACAATATTGCAAACGATGATGGAACGTGAGGATTCTCAATTGAAAGAAACTTGGGGCAGGTTTATGGGGCTCGGATTAGCTTTACTTTACCTCGGTATGAAATATAAATAAAATATTATTATTATTATTATTATTATTACGTTTCTGCTATATATGATTTTTGGTAAATAGGTAAACAAGATGCTGCAGAAGTGACTTTAGAAACTTTGAAGGCTATAGAACATCCTCTTAGCAAGCAGGTCGCAGTTCTAGTTGAAATTTGTTCATATGCAGGTATGTTACTAAATTAATTGTAAATTTAAGCGATATTAATTAAATATTCATAGAGTTTTAACTTTTTCAGGGACTGGAAATGTACTTAAAGTGCAGAATATGTTGCATCTTTGTAATGATCATTTAGATAAAGACAAAGAGGATGATTTGTATCAAGCTTTTGCTGTCTTAGGTGTAGCATTGATAGCCATGGGTGAAGATATTGGTGCTGAGATGGCATTAAGGTCATTTAACCATTTGGTATGCTCTACAAGTTATCTTGGAAATAAGATTCATATTTGTAAAGAAACTAGATTCTCAAGAATGCCTAGTTGTCCTAACGATCGTTCATTTATTGAATAGATGCATTATGGTGAACCTGTTATTCGTCGCGCAGTTCCCCTTGCAATAGGCTTGCTTTGTGCATCCAATCCTTTGCTCAGTGTTTTAGAAACACTTAGTAAATATTCTCATGAAAATGATACAGATGTTGCTATTAACGCGATATTTGCTATGGGTCTTGTTGGCGCAGGAACGAATAATGCAAGATTGGCACAGATGTTGAGACAATTGGCATCATATTATCATAAAGAACCCAATTGTTTATTTATGGTTCGAATTGCACAGGTAAGAAATTTATATTGAATTAATAAACGTTAATATAGATTAATGTAAACATCCTTGTGTTAATTGTGTTAAATAAATAGGGATTGTTACATATGGGGAAAGGGACAATATCGATTAACCCGTATCATTCTGATCGACAATTAATGTCACCTGTCGGAATAGCTGGTCTCTTAACAACACTAATTGCTTTCACGGACGTTAAAATGCGTGAGTTCCTTTTCCATAATCATTCTGAGATGATAAAGATTTATTTTTAACAATTCATCCTGTTTTAGTGATACTGGGCAGATATCATTGGTTTTTATATTACCTGGTAACTTCAATGTATCCTAGATTTTTGATTACGCTTGACGAAAATTTGAGTAGCTTGCCTGTGACCGTTCGTGTGGGACAGGTAATATTTATAGTTTTACATTATTTGTTATTAACAAGTTTAATTCTATTAGATGCCAATATTTGTTAAAGGCGTTAATCTTGACACTATGTTAATAATGCATTTATTTTATTGTGCCTAAAGGCTGTAGATATAGTAGGACAAGCTGGGCGACCAAAAACAATTACAGGATTCCAAACACATTCAACGCCGGTCTTGCTAGCACATTCTGAACGCGCAGAATTGGCTACAGAAGAATGTATCCTTACTGTAAAAAATTGTTATTCTTTTATTACATTTGTTGTCCTCGTTAATCCTTAATTCATTTAATTAAAATTTGTCAACAAAAAGACATATCTTTATCCCATGTTCTTGAAGGTTTCGTCTTGCTTCGGAAGAATCCAGGCTTTATGGAAGAAGACAAGGATTAATATTAAAAAGGTTAAATTTGTAATAAAAATTTATTTACAATAAATTACAAAAGGTATTGTCAAAAATAGGATTTTTTTAACTTTACCGATATAAATAGTAAATGGTGAATGAATGTATAACAATTCAATAAGCAAAGTGTTAATAAGAAAATTCCATACAATTTTTACCAAAAATTGTCTTTAAAAAGGTTAATTTGTTGCTATGTACCTGATTTTTCATTATTAACAAGACACAACAGATACGATAGGCCATACACACATTACTTTACACATCAGATGGTTCTTATCGTTGGAATTAATGGTACAAAAGCATTTTTCATAATGAAAACAAATGCATTGATGTTTCGATTATTATAATAAATACTGTAAATATGATCACTTTTCTTTAGGGATGGTAAGGTTCTTAGATTCAGAACCACAGAACCTGGTCTTAGAATCTAGTTTTTAAAAACCATTCTAATTTGAGAACCAACCTTAAGTTAAATATACATAATCATAATTTTGCCACATTTTTGTTATCACGAGATATTTTTTTGCCAAATTGTTTTTTTTTTTTTTTTTTATTAAGGATATTTGCCAAATTGTAAAAAAACGATTGTCAATTATCAGAAAGACGAATAAGTAAAAGTGAAAAAAAATATCTAGCGAATAAAAAAGTAAACAAAAAAAACAATGAAACTAACAAAATAGCGAATAATTAAATTCTAATTAAAGAGCGAAAGAAATTAAAGAGAAGAATAGTGAATCTTTATACTAAACTATCTTGTTGGAAGAGTTTAAATTGTCGTTAAATAGATTTTGTAAATTATTTTTTATAAAATTGACTAAATTATTCAAGGTAAAAAATCTTTGATAAGTTTATAATAAAGAAAAGGTGTATTTTCAACGGATTTTGAAGTAAGAAACTTATGTTCATCCTTTTCAACCTATTTTTTTAAAAAAATATAAAAATTAACTATAACTACTAATAAATAAATAAAATCTTTCTCGAGAATCCACGGCATTTCTCGCAACAAAGCACTGCATTCAGTATTGCAGTATTGTAGCCATCGTATGGGAGAGCTTCCATCAATCATGCCGAGTTTAACTCCGATGGTTGACGTGAGAAAGGATGCGAGAACTTGATGAAAGATAAGGGAATTTGTATTTCATGGTTGTTAGGCATTTATCATAGAAAAGAATGTATTATTTATGTATTCTTTATTTAGGGATGATTCAGAGAGCATACATTAGATATATTAGATAGTGAACTAAAGGGCGAGAGCAACCCTTTATATACATTCTAATTTTTAGATACGTACGTACGTACGTACGTTTACGTTTACACTCACACGGCTACATCTACACGTTACCTACGTTTATGCATCTTGAGTAACATACATATGATTAAGCCACTAAGATACATAATAATGCCTAATACTACGTATAGCGATAAGGATAGGCTATGACGATCAATTATTGAAGGTATGTGACAACTTAATGAATGACAAATATGGAAGTGAGAGACACGGGGAAAAATTATTCGATGAACCTCTCTACTTAGTAGAAGGTGGAGTGAAGGTAAGGTTTTTGACTTAAAGACCTTCATTAGATTATATTTTCTTATGCGGTGACCTCAGAAAATAAACCAAAAGAGGTACTGATTGTAGCGCTCTGTGGTGATAATCTGCTATATCCAAATTTCGTTCATAAACTTTATAAAAAGTTGAAACATCGAAATCTCGAATTCTAATCTAAGAAATTTCTCTCGTGAATTATCAGCCATAATACATATTGAGAAATTATAGGCATCTCCCGTGGGAGACATATTTCTCAAAATTCTTTAAAGTTTATTTTTACTGGGATAATTAAGATTAGGGTTGGAAATAAGAAAAATACGTATACAGTAAATTGGCTCAAGGAACATTAAAGAACTAACGTTTGTTTTGATCGTGTTATGTTACACGAAATCGTAGCTCGCTATTGGTAACTATGCTGGAAATGCGTTTTCTGCCTACCAAATATTAAATATGCAATACAGTACTATATAGATAGTAGAATACATTCATTTTTGGTTAATAAAAACTTTAGATTTTTTTAAAACTCTCGAATATATTGTAAATTACATTTCTATTAGTTTTCCTGTTTTAAAAATATAATAAATTTATTTATCACATTGCGACAATGATTAGTTGTAACGTTACATGATAAGAAAAATTTAAAACAAATGTTCGTTTTGCCAAAAATTGATTATAATTTAAAACAAGTTCTGAGTCTGCTCATGCGATGGGAGTTTTTTTGGTTGGGGTTAGTTGATATTTGGCATGATGTTAGCATTTGGTTATTTACGAAAATTTTTTGGAACGTGATTTTTAGCTAATTAAATCGAAGGTTCAATTGTAACGTGAAAATCACGCATTTCTACTTTTTCTTTTTTTTTTGTGAAAGGATCAGTAAAAAATGCGTGATTTTCACGTTTTAATTGAGTCTTCGATCTAATTAGCTAAAAATCATGTTTCGGAAAATTTTTTGTAGGTAAGCTATGGGTGTTCTCGAATTACAGCGTGAATTTGTAATATGTTTTGGGATTTTTTGTTTATGAAGTTGCGTTGTGTGATTGATTAAGCAGAGGATGAAACTATGTAGGAATTTAGCGCGATTGGTGTTTTTATGGTTTTATTAGATAGTTTATTTTGTCTCTGATTTGGAATAGATTTTTGGGAAGGTAATTCTGTTTTGTTGGTTTAGTTCAATTGTTTAGAGTAGTAACTGGTGATAAAAGATACTTAAGGGTTTTTTGAAATTAATTGATTAATATGGTGGAGTTGCTCTGTGTGATGTTTATGGTGTATTGTAGTGTATATTATGACTACAAAACTATTACTAACTAACCACATATATTAACTACTAATCACAACAGAACGAATAAAATTAACAAAGCATAAAATACCATCATACATATAAATCAACATCAATAGACAACCAACTTTATTAAAAAAAATATATCATTTTACAGCTCTCATCATTCATTTACAACCATTTCCAATCATACTTTTATGACAAATAATTATCATAAAAACACCAAAACTAGGATTAAATATAGTATAGCTTACCCCTTAATAAAATCTTTAAAAATATTTAAATAAATTACTTTATATTATAATAGAAAATTTTAAATTAGTTTTTAATATTAAAATATTAATTACAATATAAATATAATATACTGTAAAATGGCTAATTTTGATTTTTTTAAAAGGAGTAAACTATATTATATTTAATCTGTTGATTTAATATTGTATACTTATAGGCTGAATTGGCATTTTTTATATCATCAGAAAGAAATTAAAAGTTTTTGTTTTAGAGAGATATTGACAGATTTATTGTTTTTGAAAGCAGATTTATAATTATATTATTAAATGAAGTTGTGTTAGTTAAAATTTTATAACTTTAAAGGTAAGATGTAAATAGTTAAAATAATAGTATATGTATAATACTTATGTTTATAGGTTTTTTATAGAATTTGCATTATATCAGATAATTATTATATAGCTAATAATTTGTTGTATTTTTATATTCTAATCTTAATAAAGCTTTGTATTAGAATTTCATTTTGTTGAAGGTTTTAACTTGGCATATGATATATATAAATAAATCTTTTTTAGTTATTAATATAGTTTTATTTTAGTAAGAATTTTATGCTATTGTGTACAGTTATTGTAATTGGCTTTTTGTGTAAAATTTTTATTATAAATTCTTTATTTTTATTATTTGTACTTTTAATTTTATCTTCATTTATAACTATTTTTTTTGCTTATAATGTCTTTTGTATATCTTATTTTACTTATATTCTTGCTATTTTTCATTTATTTGTCTTACTTATTATAGCTAATTTCAAATATTCAGTTTTGTTTTCTGGTAATGTTTGTCTTTTTTCTTCTTTTTTTCT